TTACAATTATAAATTTGTTCTTAATAATGTATTATATAGGGTCAGAGCAGTGGAACATCTGTACATGATCTTCAATTCACCACATTCCTCTATTTTTAAATGAAGTATATTAAAAAATCATTTGTACATTATGAATCTTTCCACAACTTTTCACATCCTTTCCTCCCAAGTGAAAAAAGATATTAACCATGTCTTTTGACTTATTTTAGTAACAAAGTACCAAAATCTTATTGGTTTACCGAGTCAGTGGTCTCCCTTTTTATAGAGGAACTGGCATTAGATTTCATCATCTGCCACATACAACTACACTTATGACTAGCCAGCATCCTTGCTAAAGTGGTCTCCGAAATAACTTCCATTTTGTGCTTTTCTCAAGTTTTAACAATTCAAGTAGTTTCTCATCTCAAAGGAATTGTACTCCATCTATATTCACTCTGAATTTTGCTACATCTTCATTATAGATGAATATTTTGCATCTCAGTTGCCTATTTTGATTTACAACAAGCAGTAAAGTGTCCCTATTTTGATTTACAACAAGCAGTAAAGTGTCATCCTAATTGTTTCATTTTCTTGTACTACATCTCAGGCCTCAAAGGCGCAGCATCTTATTTTTCAACTAAATTATAACTTCTTCAAAGTTATATAATTTCTGTAATACTCAGTTGCAGGTGTCTGCTTAATTCTGAGCTTTGAGCATGTGACATAGCTCATTTGAAATGGTCATTTTGGTCATGTGGTTAGAGTGTCTGAAAATATCATGTGGCTTTGATATGATGAATATCTAGTCATATGAAAATTACCATAGTTCAAAACTGCATTAAATTACAAAATATAAGTATTAATTGACAGTGTTCTGAGCAATTTGGTTACAGACTAAGAATCTAATACAGGTATGGGGGGTGATTTACCTGACTACTTAATGCTTTACTGATATTTGGCTGTATATGCCATTTGTTTTGTTCTCTTTAATTAGAGGTAACAGTGGTTTGGATCAGATGGTGGCCTGTAATGTATTTAAGCTGTCAGAAGATAGTCACCTTCACCTGCATTAATTGTTAGGGTGTCAGTCAGACCATGCTTGAAAAATCTTTTTGTTGATGGAGGATAGATCATTGATGATTTCAGACAAATAATTGTTCTGGACTAATGAAAAAAATATAAAGTGATCCTTTAAGTCAGTGGTCCCCAATCCCCAGACCACAGACCGGTACCAGTCTGTGGATCAAATGGTACCGAGCCACCCAAGGTACATTAAATTATTTCCATTTTATTTTCTGTTGTTTATTTCTTTTGGGTTTATGTTCACTTTATATTCATTTATATTTATATTTATTTATATTCATTTTTGGTGTAACTATTTTATTTTGAAGGCATGTTTAAATATAATTAAATTAAAATTATTAAATCAGACCAATCTAAAATATAAACAAGCAACGTCTCCCCCAAACAACTCCAGTATAATCATTGCCTACCTTGCCACCAATCTCTTCAGTCATACCAGCACTAAACAGATTCCCAAAAATGGTACCCAGCATCAAAGTTTGTCATTAGCTGACCTTATTATTGGTCCATTCTAGTTCCTGTATTGTCTCAACAAAACAACCGCTAAGTATGGTGCCCCATCTTCCCAATGTACCCCGTTTTAGACTCATGAAGTCTATGGGATACAAAATCCAGCCATGATACAGTTAGGTCCAGCTTTGAGACAAGCAATCCTTATAGTCCAACCAGCTCCAGATTTTGGTGATTGATTCTCCTATGATATCAAATACCAGTCTGTTAAAGGCACCATTTACCAGTACTGGACCATTCCTTCAGTGGTCATGATTCATGCACACTCTAGAGTTGTCAACCCTCCCTATTTAGACGTGAGAATCATGAATTTTAATGTATACGTCCGCTTGGAGTATAACTTCGCACAGTGCTTCATCATCATGGAAAACCAAAATCCCGGTACAAATACAAATTCGCATTCCACTTCCATGTTTCATGATAGTAAAATAGCAAAAAAAGGTATAGCTGTGCTAGAACAAAAACTGCAGCTATTGTCGTGAAGATTCATTTAAAGAATAAGAAAATATACTGAGGACACGTGTGTTTCAGAGAACACGTTCCTTGTCCTTCCTCCATTACGCAGGATTCCTTTTGCCAAATATTTCCCCAAAGGCCCATACAAGGTAGATTTCCTGCAGCAGGAAGTAAACTCCACCCCACCCCATAAGAAAAGGGAAGTAGAGCTTACTTGTAGCACAAAATCACCTCGATTTTACATCATAATTGGGGGCTGCTGACGGCCGAGCGGTCTAAAGTGCTCACCATTATGGATCACTGTCGACTCACCCCTATGTGCATGGGTTCAACACTTAGGGCTCTGACAATGTGGGTACGTGAGAAAGCTTGCCAGTAGCTTTATGTGGGTCGGTGGTTCTTCCCATGGTATTCTCGTGTTCATCCTCTACCACTTATACTGATCGCCATGTATCATGTGATAAAAATGGCGTTAAATCCCACATATACTACTCCGCAATTTCTTAGTCCCCAAAGTCAACAGAAAGCATGAGACGGTCATTGATCAGAGCTTTCTAAACCAACACATTCAGCCATCCAAGTTCAACGTGGAAAGCCCGAGTTCGATTATCATTGCTATTCAGAATGAGACTGTAGTCAGCTTAGATCTAGAATATGAATCTTTCATATTTCTATTCTCGTCTTCCCGGAAACGCCCATGAGTCCTATGATTCATGACTTCTGCTTTGATCTGAATATCAGTTTTGGGGGATCATAATACTGGTTATATCACTCTTCAGGACAAACAACTTCACAGTAATGAAATCGAATTGAACGACATTCTCCAAAAATGCAATGTGAGCAGCTTTCAATACATAAACGGGATTTGTCTCAATTTCCTTCCTTCCTTTCTTACTCCTTAACAGCAACGACAAATCCGATTTCAGTTCATTCCAGCTCTTAATTCGCCTGGGAATGGGGTTCAGAACTTCTCTAAATCGAATTTGCCTCTCTCAGAACATGCCAGAAACATTGTATTTGTTATGTCTTCCATCTGGGTCTTAGTTATACTCCGCGTCCTCGGATCTTCTGTTTTAGACCGCTTCTAACTTACATCTGCAGACGATCCTTCTCTCTCACAACACTCAAATCTTGCGATCTAGACCAAATGATCCATTTCAGATTATGGTAGGCATTCATCCGTAAATCAACCGCATGAAGTCACGGTTTTCATTGACGACGGCACAACTATCTTGCGATCTAGACCAAATGATCCATTTCAGATTATGGTAGTCATTCAGCCGTAGATCAACCGCATGAAGTCACGATTTTCATTGACGACGGCACAACTGGTTTGGGCTTCCATCTCCTGCCCTTCTTCCAGTAAGTGGCATTTCTCTTCATGAGTAGTCCGTGCGCGGTAACATCGTGGAGATGACGGTCGTAACAAATGGTTTTCGATCGAAGGAAGATACGCTATTGTCAAAGAGTGTTTGATTTCCTCCTGACAACTAAATTAACCGAATGCACCGATCTGAGCCTTCTCGTGTAGGATTTTCTCAAGTGTTGTCATTGTCGACAAATCCAAAATTAAGTCTGCTTATCCATAAAGGATTCGCTGTCAGACAAAATCAAACGCTGTCTAGGCGAAATCGCAAGAAATGGAGAATCCACCTTTATCTTACCAATCCCAGATACGAAATCCTGGACAGTCTTTAAATTGCAACATGCATATACCCTTTGACCAAGCACGTCTGATTCATACGGTCATTCAGAAAGTAAGGAAATACCAATGCAGGCTAATCCTGATTGCACGTTTCGGATGGGAGGCATCATCAATAAATGAGCCCCTGAATCTAGCGGCGGCGATCACAGAAACAACTTAATATGCAGGTTTTCCATGTCAACAGAGAAATGCTAAACCTGTATCGTGTCAAAGAAGCCCTCAGAAGGAAAAATATCTAAGAACAGGTGGTAACAGAATTGCACGGGGTTGAGGGCCCACCACTTTTACAAACTCGGTAGGGGAATGTATAGTCAGTCTTCTTCTAGTGTTATAAAAGGTTATTGTTAGGAGTGGTGGGCCTGGTATCAGGATACTATGACTAGGTGGGATGTCTGCTGCATGATGCAATGCTTGACAACGCTATAAACTTCCACATTGCATATATCGTAGCTATATGACTGAAAGATTGTTAAAGCTACGTTAAAAATCCAGATCACACACACACACACACACACACACACACACAAACGCACATAATAAATGATACTAATATATTATTGTTATTAACAACAGTATTTTCAGCGATATTTAATAATATATATATATATATATATATATATATATATATATATATATATATATATATATATATATATATATATATATATATAATGGTATTTAATAACAGACATACACACATACAAGCATGTGTACACGCATGGGATATTTATTATATGTGGGATGTGTAGATGTTTGTGTTCCTTATGATAGTTTCTGCTTTGAAATGCTGAAAAACTCTACCGTATCTCCCTGTGATTTTTCTTAAGAGCTCATCGTCCTTCAGTAATCTGAGAAATGCATCAAAATATATTTTCCTTGGAAATTTTTATTTTTCTGCCTGGAAATTTTCGAATTCAGTCACAATCTTACAAAATATTTTGTTCAAAGAGGTGTCACTCACCTGATGACTTGGCGTTCATAAGCTTTATATAAAGATAATAACAAGTCAACATGAATTAATATGTGATATTGTTGTATTTCGGTTGAAGTAACAAAAAATATTACCTCATTGTAAACATTCTTTGGAAATTACAAACGTAAAACAAACAAAAAAAAACCCATCAAAGTGTGAAATATGAGCTTCGTGATGTGAGGTTATTAGATAATTAAAGAAAAATTATTTTAGTGTTGCGCGCTTCAGAACCCTTCACTTAATTATTTTAGTAGTTGCGCGTTTAAGAACCCTTCACATGACAACAGTTACCACTGCTCTGGTGGCCTAGTGGTTAGAGCGTCCACATCGGATGTAGGAGATCATGGGTTCGAGCCCCGGCTGAGTCATACCAACGACTTTTTAAAAAAATGGTAATAACAGCTGCCTTGCTAGGCGCTCTGCATTAAGAGGTTAGTGTTAGGACTTGTTGGCCTGGTGTAACGATGTGACTTGGTGGGACATCATGCCACAGACATGTGGCATGATGCCCTGCCACATGTGGCATGATGCCCCAATGCTACACATCACTATAAACTATTACAGTGCAGACATCGTAGCGATATGACTGAAAAATTGTTAGAGCTACAACAACAATTACCGACGTCATTTGGAAATCGGGCAAATATCGACCTCAAAGCAGTTTAACTCAAACGTTGTTTGATTTGCTAGCTTGTGAGTTGCTTTGCGTGCAACGGTATGTTAAATAAATGTTGTATCCTTTTGGAAATATCGAGTCCGTAATGCAGAGAGAAGAAATAATATAGATGTACGGGTACGACGGACATACAGACAAATGTGAGATTTAAAAGTGCTAAGGGCAATTTTATACATGTATGGAACATATGGTACCTTTTATACATCTTAACACCAAATAAGTAAAGAAAAATTAAATTGAAGCTATTATATATATATATATATATATATATATATATATATATATATATATATATATATATATATATATATATATATATATATATATTAGAGGTTAAAAATTACACTTTTAGTGTATATTAAGAGACAAAAAGGTCACAAAGTAAATGGGATAGTCAGTTTACTCACCACGGGCGTACACATGTATAATGTGGGGGGGTGGCATGTATAATGTGATGGGAGGGCATGTATAATGGGGGAGGAGGGCACAACCAAACTGAAAAGGATGTATAGTAGGCTAAAAAAAACACTCATATTTATATTGATTTTTGTTTCATTTATCCATTTTCTTATCTATCTCGTGTGCATATCATTGCAACCATTAATATCAATAGTGTTATATGCTCTTATAGGTAATGCACGTAAGCAGTTAAAAAGACAATATGATTTTAAAAAGTTGTACTTTATGTAAAGTGTTCGCTTTAATCAGCATGTTTCAGTTCTATACTACAATTTTTAAAGGATTTGACCACATTTGATTGGAAAGTTAACAATTATCGCCGATTATCGCAACCCAGACGCACGAAAACGTTTGTGTGTGTGTGTGTGTGTGTGTGTGTGTGTGTGTGTGTGTGTGTTGGTGCGTGGGGTGTGTGATTTATTTGCAATTTAATATTAAAGTTTTCGATGTCCAAAGTAAGGGTAAATGATTTCATCTATTTCTCATCTGCAAATGAAATGACTAGCTATAAATTCACCTAAGTGTTGAACAAACAGTCTAAATTTGTGGAGTGATCTTATCAAATCCTTTTTAGGATTTTCAATAGCGTGAAAGCACTTGTTGACCTTTACGATATATTACGAGACAAAAAGGTCACGCCCTCAATTTGAATTATATAATGTTATAACTTTAGGTCTCTAAGTTACGGAATCACAACCTAAATTGTTTACTCAAAGTCAAGGGTTTACTTTCGTGTGAAAAGCACTTCAAAATTAGTAAATGACAAGCTCAAACTTTTCAAATGATATATGGTAGACAGGCTTGCTCATTTATTATAATATATTTCACATAAATGCAGAAGAAAATTCGTACGTGACTGCTCCCTAATCCACATTTTGGTCACTATCTAATAAATTACACCGTAAAATGAAACAGAGACGAAAGACTAGTGAAAGTGGGGTAGTTATTTACGCATAAGTGGGTAATGACATCGCATAGAGGAAGCATCGTCTGAGGCTACCGTGCAGTGGATTGGACAAATATGTATTACGAACGATTGTTGCTGATTCTACATTTATTTAGAAAATAGTATAGATGAAATGAACATTTATACAAAATATTATCTTGTGGAGAATCAATTTATAAATGTAAAAAGGCAAAACGAACAATTTTCGAATTTATTTTCGCTGTATATTATCATATAGAGCACAACAAATACATGCCGCTTCAAAATTGCTTCACATGACAACTACACAAGCTCTCCTAATACGGCTTGAATATTCAATTTGACAAAATAAAAAGCATATTTTCTAGTGATAAATCCCTCGCTTCCAGACTATTTAGTTCTAGGTTCGATTTTAGGTGCAACTATATAAAGATTTTGTGGTCGCTAAAATATGCTCGGGAAGTTTTTGAAAGATGCTTGTTTCTGTTATTGTTTTTTTGTTGTTTTTTTTTCTCCAAGCCCAAGACTGCGTTAAAATTCATGCCCACGAAATATGCATAAAAACATTTAGGAAATTGCTTTGTAATGGAGAAAATATATAAAGGTTTAAATTTGATTCAGTCATCGAAGTCAGGTCTTCGTTGTTCTTTTATCTTAGCATGGCTTTATAAACCTTGATCGAATTAAAAAAAATTGTAATCTGGGTCAGTGATTTTTTTTTTATGCCTACGAGATCAGGTTTGTACTCATTGCTATAGAAGATTTGTAAGGCTCAACCAGGTACCTGTCGGACATAATTCTACTCAGCCACTGTACCTGACTCAGGGCCGGATTTACCATTGTACTTAGGTGTGCTTAAGCACAGGGCCCCTGTTGGCCCGGGGGGGGGGATCTTCTTGGCAATTTTGTTTTACTCCAAAGTTTGTAACTTTTTAATTACTCATAAATTTCCTGAATATAAACGCCTGACCACCTGTGTAGGCCTACCTGGCCTACCTCATTCAGGGCCCAAGTAAGGAGCCTCATAACTAGCATAGGACCTCATTTGTCCTAAATCTGCACTGACCTGACTGTTATAGTTCTACTCAACCCGCTGTAACCGACTGTCATAGTTCTGCTCAAACAATCTTTCTGAACAATTATTTTAACACTCATTATTGGCCCAATAGCTAAAACTGACAATAAAATGAAACCGAGTAACTACAGATCTGTTTTAGATTCTTTAGCTCCAGTTTCAATTTTGGGGGTTGGGGAAGGTAATTTATACGAATGTGAGGCTAGATATTAAATTTCATACTATACATGCGCTGAAGCTAAAATTTTACGAATGTGTTGAAATCCCAAACGACATCAGTATTATTGTATTTGGAATACATATTTTGATAGATCTGGGACTTGAAACTTGCTCTCTTGGTAAATCTGTGAGCTCACACAGTCACCAGATATTTAAATTGCACATCTCTATCATCTCAGTAGAAACATTATCTTTCAGACTAATCACCTGGCTGCTTTTCTTTAATAATTGGCTATTTTTAAAATTTATTTGTCGGACTTTCAGCTGAAAAGGTGCATATTTGGGTTTCCTCTCAAAAGTTGATTTATTTCTCAATACTGCTTTCGTGCTATTTCTGTTCATTGCTATAGATGATTCTCATATTACATAGTGTGTAAGAAAATAATGTATGCTTCAATGAAAGATTCATAAAAAAATTCAAATGGAGAAAAGTATTTTTAAATATTTCATACAATCTACAGGAAGCTGCTTATAAAAAACCTAGATGGTGTAATGTTCTCGATTCTAATTTTAATACTCTGATTTGTTTCAAAATGATTTTGTTATTATATTTGTTCTATTTGTTAATTGATAGATTGATTTATTTATTTTGTTCAATGCTAACGTTTAGAATCCAGCTCGAAGATAGAACAAAATACACTATCTGGTAAAACAGGATCTAATTATTTGGAATTTACACAAAATCTATATGCCACCCATGGTTACTAGACGGAGACGCATAGTAACACTTAAAAATGATAAACACAATAAAATATGTACTAATTTTCTCGAGTCCGATTCAATTTACACAAGAGCAAACGTTATATACAGCAGGTCGCTACAAGTAAGGTGTCAAAATCCTTAATAGCCTATATAATATTTTTCATAAGTGTGGATCATGAAGTAAACATAAAACTGACATGTTCGTGATTTTATGACACCTTAGTCTCCCAAATTACCCTCTGGTCTTAGAACTCACTTGACCCTCTTCAGCGTACCAAGAACTAATTTCTGACGTCGACGTCCTTTGGCAGGATATATTTTTCTCTGCCTTGAAATATTGAATTTATTTTTTGACCATAATTTTGTTGATTCAAAATGTTCTGCAACGGATCATTGGCGGTGTTATTCATGTTCATTGCTATTCTTGTAAACGGTAAGTTGTGGGAAAGCATATACAAATATTAATGAAAATGTTATATTAATATATCATAGTAAACATATATAAATATTAATAAAATGTTATATTAGTTTTATCATAACGCCTACAAATTTAAAGCTTTACAGAAGCAAAGTTGAAAGGAATAATATCGATGTCTATCGCTCTAAATAAAACATTTAGGATGAAAAAAGTGCAATTTTTACCTTTGATCAAACTTTCTATTATAGTGATGTCTGCATGGAAATTATGTGCCATCATGTGTCTTTATTTTAAATTAAATTTGTATGATTTGGATATTTCATTATAAAGTACCATTGTTTTGTTTAAATTTATTGCAAAACAGTCGGTGCTGCACGTCTATGAATGACAACATCCGTTTAAACACATTTATGAGCCAATGCAAATATTAGAGCAAATTTCTTAAAGTACGTAGTTGTCCGTGTTATAGTTTGAAAGATGTGATTATCGATAAAAGAACGCATACTTCGCATAATCAATACTTGTTTAAGTACATCCTTTGCTTATAACATCTTATTTAACTTTTCTTTGGGTTTTTTTTGGGGGGGGAGAGGTAGAAAGATTTATTTCTGTTGATTCTTATGGGCCGAACTTTAATCGGCGGGCTGTGGACGTGGGATTTGTTTTGTTTTATTTTTCGAACCGGGATATTTGTGTCACTTTTACCTGAAGATATTTTGAACTAATATAATGGTTATAAAATGGTTATTTTTCCTTTAAATTTTACTATTATCTTTCTTTTTACAAATCTATTTGTAATCCCCAAAATACCAGGAGTCCCGCCCCACCCCACCCTATTAAAATGTAGGTCCCTTTCTTTTCCTGTACGCATTTGGAGATAACTTTATTATTTTT